TGAATTCAGGGTCCTTCCCTGTAAGGTGGGAATGGCCCCCCAGTGCTGCTGTGAGGACAGTGGAGCCAACACATGCTCCCTGCACAGGCGTCACCCATGACCAGGACATTGCCGTGGTCACTGGTCTATGTGAGTGCTGCAGAGGGACAATGGAACAAAAGCCAGGTGGACATCTCTAGTAAACACAGCTGGGGACAAAAAACATCAGGAAAGTAAGAGAGGGTCACAAAGAACTGTGGAATTGTTCGAAGCAAGTTCTTTGCACGTCAGAAGGTCTTGCTCAGCATGGTGAGGGCTACACCACCCGGGAGCCTGCCAGAAACACACAGCTGCAGCTGGTGGAGTCTCCATATTTACAAGGTGCCCACGTCATTCGTCAACGCAAGGCACCTTGGGGAGCACCCAGCTAGGACACAAGGTCTGCATTCGCCCACAGTCATATCAGATCCTCTAGTGACAGAAGGTCCATGTGGTCTGCAGCGGGTCCTTCAGTCACCTGATCAATTTAAGCCCCAGTAAGTAAACAGCTGACCAGCTCCAATTGACCCAGGCCCAAAGCAACCAGCCCTAAATGGGAAGCAGGTGGTGTCTGTGAAGGGTCGACCAAAGCACTTCAAGGAGATGGCCCTTGCCCCCGGAGCCTCATGACAGAGGAGGCAACAGAAGTGTGGACCCCTGGGTCAGGCCGCTGGGTAGTGGCTGGCAGGGCAGTTTATTCTGACTCGGAACATCAGAGTAGCCCGAAGAAGGTCAAAGTGGCCAGCGATGAAGGAGCAGGATTTCAACAGGTGGAGAAGGAGCGGGAGATGCAGCTGGAGGCAAGGGACCCTGAGGAGTCCAGCAGAAGAGTGTGAGCAGACATGGGAGACCGCAGAGGGAGAGCTTAGGCTTGGAGGAGGTTGGGCCTTCAGGCTGCAGCCTCCTCACCCAGGCAAAGGGAAACCAACCTGAGCTGAGCGTGGTCAGCACAGGTTCCATCCATCATTTCTAGCTTTGGCTTAAGGAACAGGGTACAGTCTCTCTGTGTCCCAGACAAGGCAATCCCCTTGCTGGGCCTCAATTTGAGAAATAAAGAAATCATCTCTCTGTTTTAGAATTTTGTGTCTTATTTGGTGCTTTTCTCTAATATAAAAAATGTGGGCGCAGTTGACCCTGAGACTGGTGCAGAGATGGCTCCACTCTAATGTGCCACCCTCCTGTGGCACAGCACCATCGCCAGGAAGTAGCTGACCTTTCCAACCTTTCATCCTCCAGCCTTTCCAACCCTTCACACCTAATGTGTGAAGAAGCAGTGTGTTCAGGAAGGAGTGGACTTGCCTTCTTTCCTTTCCCCTTTCCACGATCCAGAGCAGACAATGGCCTGGGTGCTAAATCTCCACAGGAAGCAAGCCAACCACTAAGTAGGGGCATCCACATTGCACTGTTACACAAACCAGAGATAAATGGTATTATTCTCCAGCCACTATGTGTCTTGAGGCCTATAAGTTACAGCAGCTAGTATGATCCTAATACAGATGTTACAGGAATGATTGTTAGAATCAAAGAAGAAAAAGATGAGAAAGTGCTTTATAAGTTATAATGTTGCCACTATGGCTTTCCTGAACATTCAACAAATATCTATGGAGCAGCCATTCCACACCACGCATGCCCTTGGGACTGAAAAGTCAGTGACAGACACCTCTGACCTGAACCTCCTCCCAGATTAGTATCCAGTCATCAGCCAACAGTGCTGGGCAGAGCATAAGAACACACCATCTGCCTTTCAGCTGAGGAAATACTGCATCCCATCCTCATTTAGCTACCCAGCGGGACAAAAGCCCCTGAATGGCTTTTACGGACTTTTCTATGTATTGATTTTTAAATGCATAGCTTGCGTTGTCCCAGGCAAAATTTAAGACAGCTTACAAGATGGCTTAATTTAGAAATGAAAATGAAAGAAGGAAGTCAAAACAGGGTGGGAATATGAAATGGAAGCATGAATATAGCTAAATATGCAATCACTAAAGACTTACACACTCGCCACAAATTTAGATCTGAGTTTTCTGGCAATGAAATTTAAAAAAAAAAACGTGATGTTCTTTAGCTGTTATAATATTTGCAATTAACTATTTAGTATCTGTCTTCCTTATAGGACAGAGGCTCCAGGGAGGATGAGACTGTGTCTTTGATTTACTTACCCCTGTGCCTCAGGACCCAGCACCGTTCCTGGTCCACAGTTAATCCACAGTGAACACACCCACAAGATAAAAGCAGACGCCACTCAAAATTCAATCCTCCTTGACATCAAGACAAAGAGACATATCCCCCCAGATCCTCAGAAATATGGGCCAACAAGATGACGACCAGCATCCTCAGCGGATCCCACAGTGGGCTCAACCGCAGGACCCTGGCTGGTCCTCACTTCCTAAACCCCATGCCTTGGTGGCATAACACCAAATACACACCAGAAGCCAATAATGCAGGACCATAGTATCCTGTGGTCCCAACCCCAACTCTGCCAGTCTGAAGCCATCTAGGGGAAGACCACCAACTTCCCAGATGGAACTAACCACTCTGCAGCTTGTCGGCAGTTCCCCTCATCGTCCTCTCCCTGGCAGCATCTACACCTGTCTGACCCATGAGTAGCTCTGACTTCATGCCTTTGGCCTCTATAGGCCATGAGGAGCAGCTGCGTTCTGATGTTAGAATCTGCATTTCCCATGGGGACAGTTGAGGGGTACCATGCACTCTGTCATTCAGGGACGCCCTGATGAAGTCGTAATTGGCTGGATCACAGTACAGTATAAATGGTATTTTTCCTACAGAATTAGATACCTTCCCTTTGTTTTCACTGTGACTTTATGACCAAATTGTTTCCCTGGGATTTATTTTGTTGTTTATGTGGGTTTTTTTTTTTTTTTTCACTTTGGCTCACAAAGTCAGTGGTGTGGTCCCAGTTAGTTAGAAATCGATGTCCAGGGTAGGTGGCAGAGCATACAGGACCAACAAGAACATCAGAGAGCAGGATTGTGGCAGGTATAAGGCACAAAAATCAGAGAGAGATTTAACATCCCAGAGGCATAGGGAGATGGCACAGGATTCCTGGTGGTTTCCCAAGAGCTTACCACAGGGAGCAGAACCAGGGTCCTCGTTGCATGACTCCAAGATGCTATTTGCATGGACCACATTGAGTTTGATAAGACAGTGAGTGCCCCCTGAAGTTGTGCTGTGTATCTACCCAGCAGGACCCAGTGTGAGACCGTTCACCAAAGTATTGAGAACCACATTTCCTGAGCATTTTGGATGAGCTGAGCATTGTGCTAAGAACTTGGTGAGTTCTAGTTCTCAGCACCTTGGAAGTAGGCACAGACGTCATTCCCGTCCACCAAAGGGGAGACGGAGACCTAGGAAGGTTGAGTGGCTTCCCGAAATTACTCCATTAGGCAATGGTAAAATGGAATTTGAGCCCAGAGAAGCTGTCCTCACAGCCCAAGCTCATAACCACTCTAACGAACTGCCCTCCCTCCTACAAGCTGGTTTTTAAAAAAATATGAAAAGAAAAATTTGAAAAGCACTGTTTTTCAAGATGCTATGTACAACAGGATTTCCAATTGATTCTTCCAGATCCCTCTCTCCTTATGGAAGTGATCTTTCACTTCTGGAATTTTCTCTCTGATTTCATTTCTTATGACATCTTTTACCTGGTAAAATTTTGTCCTAGCAATTAAGGGCATCCTAATCATCCCTAAATTCTCTTGCTGATCCTAGGACCCCTACCTCAGAGGACATCTCCAGGCTATGGTGCCAAGGCAGGTAAGAACACTCTGCAAACATGTCCCCAGAGGGTCATCTACACGGGTAGGTCTGGCCCCACAAAATGTTCCCTGCTCACCAGGGTGGCTGCAGCCTCTAATAGAGATCCTTGGCTGTGGCTGGGACATTTATGAAGTCCCGCTGGCTAATGTCTCCCTCTGATGCCAGCAGACAGCTCCGGGCTGCATAACCAACACAGGCTGAGCACGTTCAAGGGCAGACCACAGCTGGGGGCTGCATCGTGAAGGCAGAGGACAGGGAGCATGGCCCGAGGTGGCTCATGCCAGATTATCCCAAGATGGTGCTGAGCAGAGTAACCTCCATGGCAGTGGCAGCCCACGTCCAGGAGACACCTGTCCACAACAGGAAGATGAACAGAACTCCCAGAGAGAAGACCCGCCAAGGGCACGTGTGAGCCGCTGGTCCAGGCTCCCAGTATCTTTCCGCTCTGAGACCCGCGAGTGAGGAAGGGCGCCGCTCGGCTGGCCTCACCTTTTTCTTCTTTGCTTTATTCTAGGCACCCTGTTCTTAAGCTGGCATTTCAATCTTCTAAATGTAGAGTTAACTTTTCAATCTGTTAGAAGTCTGAATTAATTTTATGGCTGGTCGGCCTGCCGCCTGCCTTCTTTCCTTCCTTCCCTCACACTCTTCCTCCTCCTAGCCCTCCTCTTCCTCCTCCTCCTCCTCCTTCTCCTTCTCCTCTCTCTCTCCTTCCTCTCATTCATCTCATTCTTTCTTGCCCCGTCTCAGACATCTACAGCTGTGCAAACAGCTGGTTTGGGTTGACTGGCCTTCACTTTACCAGCTCTGTGCATGCAAACAAGAGCAGCGAAGCAAATGACTGGACACAGTCTGAACAATACTCCCGGTTGCCAATCTCCAGCCCTAGCTCCCCAGTGGCCTTCCCCTGGGCACCTGCCATATCCCCACACCTCCAGGTCCTGAAACTGCCCTGTCTCACCCGAGACTCCACTGAGGCTGGCATCTGGGCTGAGGGCAGAACCTGCTGAGCAGTAGCAGAGTGGCCTGTGGCAGGGCTTGAGGCTCGTGCCCTCTGGAGTCAAGTGTTGAGTTCTCTTCCCTAAATCTCCTTCATGTCCGAGGCTAGACACAAAGTTTTACAGAAAGAAAAGACAACACTTTCTTCACCTAAACAGTTGTATCAACACAGAACATTGTTTTAAAATGTCAGAGAATCTATTTTAAAAGTTTTTCTTGATTTGCCTTTATTTGCTTACAACCTTGAATTTTGTCCAGTTTTCATACTTTAGGGAACATAAAGAACATTCCTGTATTTCACATCTTCTAACCCCACCCCCGTTAATCATGTGTAAGCAGAGAATTCCAGTCCTACGGGGGCTCTCCCTTCCTGTGGCTTTGAAGCATTTTTCCCCTTGCTAAGGTCTAAGAAGGAAGTCCGGTCGTTGAATCAGAACTCAAAGCCTGCGGCAGTGAGTACGGGACAAATGTGGCCTGCCGTAGACTCTGTTTTCCTGAGGTTTAGGACATCTCAGCTCATCCCCAGGGCTTTGTATTCACCCATTCAAAGAATGCACTGCATTAGGTGCTGTGTCTTTACAGGGGGTGGGCTGGGGGGATACCCTGAGGAGGGTAGTGTGTTGGTGAGGCAGGAGGGAAAAAGAGAAAACCAAAAAAGGAGAGAAGTGAGTGGTGGTCACGAAGCTGCTGGCAGGAGACAGGCGGCTTCAGAAGTTCCCAGCAGATGGTGAGGCTTTGGGCCTTTACTACCCTTCTATGTGAGAGTCGGTTATTTCACTTTGAGACTCCAGAATGCCACCCAGAGGAAGCTGTTGAGTGGATGGCGTCCTTTCTCAGAGTCACCTTCAGTCTAGTGTTCTTAAAGCTGAACATTTCCCACAGTGGCTACTGAATTCTGAATTCTCCCTAAACTGGTCCGAAGTGAGGCCACGGTTAAGAATGTCTTGTTCACAGAGGATGAGGATGACCCAAAGCAAGGGGCTCAGTGAGTGTGCCTGATGGCAGGAGGGTCCGTCTCCAAACCAGCATCAGAGTGCCTCTGGCTGTGAAGGGGCTAGCAACCCCAATACTGGACAAATAGGCCGAATTTGCTTCTTGCTAGGCAGCATAGAGATGTATCAACAAACCACAGTCTCTAGGAATAAAAAAAAAAAAACTGATTTCATAGAGCTTGGGGGAATATATATGTGTTAGTTAGCTATGTGTTGCTATGACAAAATAACTGAGAAAGCAACCTGAAAGAAGAAAACTTAAGTTTAGCTCACAGCTTCAGAGGATCAGGTTGGTAGGCTCCATTTCTCTGAGGCTGTAGAGAGGAAGAACATCATGGTGGGGAGCATGTGACAGAGCGGATCTGCTCACATCCTGGAAGCCAGGAAGCAGAGGACAGAGGTGAAGGGGTCTAGAGACAAGATATACCAGAACACCATGTGCTGAAGGGTCACTGATTGGGCAAGCTTTTTTTTCTCTCTCTCTCTTTTTTTTTCTAATTAGTTATACATGACAGCAGAATACATTTCATTTTATTGTACACTAATGGAGGAGCATAGCTATTTCTCTGGTTGTACATGATGTAGTCACACCATTCCTGCAAACATACATGTACCTAGGGTAAGGATGTCTGTCTCATTCCACTGTCTTTCCTGCCCCATGCCCCCACTTCTCCCCTCCCTCCCCTCTGCCCAATCCAAAGTTCCTCCATTCTTCCCATGACCACCCCCCATTATGGATCACCATCCACTTTTCAGAGAGAACATTTAGCCTTTGGCTTTTGGGGATTGACTTACTTTGCTTACCATAATATTCTCCAACTCCACACATTCACCTGCAAATGCCACAATTTTATTCTCTTTTAATGCTGAGTAATATTACATTGTGTATATCTATCACGGTTTCTTTATTCATTCATCTATTGGCAAGTTTAAAACGATTTTGAAGTTACGTGATCATAACTTGGGATTAACACCAAATTAGTCATTCTCTTCTCTTGAATTTGGTAAATAGAAATTTTAATTATCAATCAAAAGGTGAAAATAATAGGCATCAGGAATTTTTAAGGGGCATCACCGCACATTTAATAACACAAAAATATAATAATAGAACATTATTAATAAAAATCAGTTTAAAATCTTAGGTGAAATGGACAGGTTTTTTGGTACATATTTCTGGAGAGCTAAAAACACTTATAAAATTGGCAGAAATGATATAAAAAGTCTGATTTTTTTATATATGAAAATCTTGCCATAGACACAAATTTTGAGGTCTAAATAGCTATGAAGAATTTTTCTAAATACATAATAAAGATATTATAGCAGTTTGTTATGTACCTTTCAGAGAAAAAAGTAGAAAAAACACTCACCAAATCTTCTCATAAGCCCAGAGCCTAACCAGATCCTTATAAGACAGTTAAGGAAAAAAAAATAATTTTTATATGGGAAGCATGGCATTTTGGAATTAAGAACTTTCTTAAGTAAGAGTTTTTGGAGAATATTCAAACTGAGTGCATATTAGCATACACACAAAAATGCTAAATAAATACTAAGCAAATAAATCAAAACTACATAAAAAGAAACATAAATCAAGAACAAGGTATATTTATTCCAAAAATTCAACTTTTAAAAATCAATTAATGTATTTCCCCACAATAATAAAATTAAGACAAAGTGTCTTACTGGCATCTTGATATTTACAGGAAAAACATTTGGTAACATTTAATGCCAGTCTGTTATTGAGAGAGAGAACAAACCTAGCTAATTGGGAATAAAATAAACTTTCCTAATCTGATTCAGGCTGTATTTAAAAGACCAGCAGCATTCACTGGGGAAATATTGAAAGTGATTTCCCCAAGATCAATAATGTGACAAGGAATTCCATTTTAATTATTTTTATTCAACTTTATACTCAAGTTCCAAGTCAGTACGACAAAGAAAAAAGAAAAAGAAGTAAAGCAGTAAATGCTGAACTGAAGTTTTATAATATTACATTATCATATATTTTAAAAATCCAAAATACATATAAATAAATTTCTGAAATTCAGAGAATTTAGAAAGTTGATGGAAATGAGGAAAATATGCATTTTTAAAATATTGTGTACAAAGAATATTAAAAGTGAACTAAAAAGCCCATTTCTAAAGGCATTACAACACTAAATATTTAGATACATGTTTAGCTAAAGACGTGCTAGACCTCCACTCGAGTTGTACAGAGCATGTCCAAGATACGTTGAAGAAGATTTAAACAGAGAGTATTCATGGGTTAGAAGACTCAGTATGTCAAGATGCAAATTGTTCCCAAATTTATCTTTTGATTCATTGCAATAATAATCAAAAGTCTATCAATGGATAGCAGTGGGAATTACCAAGTAAGAGCTTCCAAAAAGAGATTTCTCCAAAAAGCAACAGAACCATTGGCAATAAATAAATAAACAAATAAATAGATAGATAGATAGATAGATAGATAGATAGATAGATAGATAGATAGATAGATGGATATATAGATAGATAAATGAAATCTGAGAAATACTTGTTGAAGAAAACTGACTGCATCCCAGGGCAAGAGCTTTGGCCATAGTCAGTGGCCCTTTCCCTACGTCCCCTGTTGAGCTCTGCTGGAGCCTAGAAATAAAGGGCTGCACAGTCACAGTGGCCACCAGCAGTTTGCAGCCAGCAAAGGAACCGAATGGGGTGCAGCTTCCTAGATCACAGATCTCAGATAATCCTGGCTGTCTGACCCGGGTGGACATTCACAGGCTCATCTTTAACTGAACCAACTCAGACTTCACTCTGAAGGAGCAGCCTTTTATCAAGGGGAATTTGCTGAAAGCAATTAGAGGCAACTAGAAATTCGTCTGAAGAGCAGACAGAAAAGAGAACAAAGGGAAATGAGGAGAGCCTCAGAGACCCCACCAAACCAGCCTCCAGAAGCACCCGTGGAGTTCCAGGCGGAGACAGAGGGGGCAAGAGGGATGCCTGGTCAAGGACCAGAGGCATCGCAAACTTGATGAGAAACATTTACCCACACATCCGAGAAGCTCAACGGATTCCAACAAGACAGACCCAAGGAGACCCCATGTCGACACATCCAAGTGAAACTGACCCAAGAGAGACCTGGAGGAAGGGGGAAGCAGCTCGTCAAGTACAGAAGCAGCTTCACAAAACCCACAGGCAAGCTCATACAACCTCCAAAAAGAAGGGTGTCAGAGGACCTCCCCTCCCACTTCCAGTTCTGCAAAGCCAGTCGGGAAGACTTCGAGGTCCCAGAAGGACACAGCAGTGGAAGACGGGAGTCCAGAAACGAATCCTTGTGTGACAGTCAGTCACATTTGAAAAAGGGGCCAAGGAAATGTGCAGGGGAAAAATACCCTGTTCAAAACTGGTGCTGGAATAATATCTAGTTGATTAAAATGAACGTGGACCTTCACCTCACACTAATATGCAAATATTCACTCAAAATGTCCATAGACTTTAAGGTAATCAACTTTAAAATAGAGCACAGAAGCAAAGCAAGTCTTTTGAGACTTTAAGTGTCCTTAGTTACAACACCCAAAAAGCATGGTGTTTTTTTGGTTTGGTGCCGCAGTCCGGCTGGGCAAATAACCAGGAGGTGACAAGCAACTTGAAGGCTGAAATGGGAACTACTTTATTGCAAGTGAACTCAGCGGGAACTGAGCGAGAACTCAACGTAGCGGGCACCCGAGATAGCAGGAGCCGCTTCTCTGCCGGACAGCAGAGGTATATATACTCAACTAATCACACACAGCTTAACTTAATTAACATCATCTAGATACAGCAGTCAGTCATTAAGGAATCCTCATCATCTTAATGGCTCGCTGGCGTTGCTTCACAAACCACTCCTCCTGGCAAAGTGCCAGGCACCATCTTGACTTGACTTACATCCCCAACAGTTTGGGGGCTTTTTCACTTATTTTTGTAGGGGAGTTACCGAGAACTGAACTCAGAGCACTTAACTATGAGCCACATCCCAGCCCTTTTTTTTTTTTTTTGTATTTTTTTCAGAGACAGGGTCTCACTGAGTTGCTTAGAGCTTTGCTAAGTTGCTGGCTTTGAATTTGGGGTGCTCCTGCCTCAGCCTCCTGAGCTGCTGGGATTACAGGTATGCACCACTGTGCTCAGCTAAAAGCTTGATTTATAAAAGGAAAAATATAATTTGGATGTCATTAAAATTCAAACTATTTGACTTTAAATGGAATTCTTAAGAAAAATACAAGCAATGGATGGGGAGGAAATATTCACAATTTTTAAAAATTTTTTTTCCAAGAATAAACTGGCATCCATGATTTACAAAAAAAACACAACTCAGTAATAAGACAGGCCAAATAAAAATGGGCAAAAGTTGTGAATAGACATCTCATCAGTTATGAAATGGCCAATATACACAAGAAAGAGGTTCTACATCATTAGCCATTAGGGGAATGTAAACCAAAATTTCAGTGAGATAACATTCCCACAAACAGAAAGGCTATAATAAATAAAATTGGCAGAAACAAAGGTCAAGGATGTAAAGAAACAGCAGCTTCCATACACAGCTATTGACAGAGTAGTGCAGCCACTTGGAAAACTTTTTGGCAGTTTCTCAAAAAGTGAAACATAAAACTATCCAATAACCCTATAATTCCACCCCTAGCTATCTACTCAAAAAAAAAAAAAAGGAAATATTCCATTGCATATAAATGTTCATAGAAGCATCATTCAAAAGAGTAAAACCCAGGAAGCTGCCCACATGTCCTCCAACTAGTGAATGGATAATCATAATGAAGTAAATCCACAGAATTGAATGGCAGTCACCCACAACAAGGGATGAAGGACCGACACATGCTACAGCAGGAATGAGCCTCAAAGACGTGGTGCCAAGTGAAATAAGCCAGATGCAGAAGGCCACCTCTTGTGTGATTCCATACATCGAGTGTCAAGAATAGACAGATACAGAGAATCAGAAAGCAGGTGCCCGGTCTCCTAGGACTGAGGATCGGAGCAGCATTAGTTATGAACAGGAGTGATCTTACGGGGGGATAAAAATGTTCTAAAGTGGATCTATGGTGAGTTGCACCAGTGGTAAAGATCATAAAAGTAACTGAATTCTATACTTGAAATGGATGGGTTTTATGTTATATAAAAT